CAGTCTGTAACTGAAAATATGGATGGAGAACAACAGAGCTGCTTCATGGAAGAAGAACCTCAGCTTAGCCTGTTAGCCATAGCGCTAGCGGAGACGCGATATTGCCCTATGTGTATTAGCTTGGCGCTAGCGCAACAAGCTAAACTAACCTTCAGGGTGGATATAGCTCGCTAGCAGCCTCACACCGAGGACCTATCCACGTCATCATTTACCCAGAATGCTTTGTGTGTAAATAAAATGGCCCGTAAGTGTAATATATTTTTTAAACTTTTAGTTTAAAAATGATTCAATTGAATTCAAAAATACTTTATTGATCCCAGAGGGATAAAAACTAAACAGCCTACAGTATTTTTACAGTCTTTATTTTACAGTTAAAATATATGTTTATTAAATAAATTCTAATGTTACAACTAATCAGGGATCCCTTTAAATAAACAAATGAATTTATAAAATAAAAACATGCAAAAAATGCACTTTAATTTATTGATTTAGTTTTATTTTTCTTGGGGAAATTTATTTATTTAATGGAACATTTATTTATACTTTATTAATTACGGTATTTATTCATTTATTTAATTTGGAATGAAATGGCTCGCCATACATTTGAAGTAAATACAAATTTATATGGGAGCTTGCTTGGATCTTGTTGTGAGTGTGCACTCAAATTATGGGACTTACTTCTCCACATGCTGTTTGATAACAAATTACAGGCCAGTGAGAGGCTGGCTTTAGTGTTCATGTAGTTTTAGAGTGGGGGTCCACAGCTATTGCTCTGAGGATATGTGAGTGTGTGTCTGTCCTTGCACATTGTCTGCTGCTAGTCTTTAACATGCTGAACACCAGTTCTCCTCACTGGGAAACTTTACCTGAACAGATCATTTTTTCCCCAGAACAAGTCAAACTGAAGACGAAAACATCTGTAAAAATACACTTAAAAAAAAAAAAAGATTACCACAAATTTAACCTAAATGTGTCAAATGAGAATTAATGCAGTTCCTGGTGTTTCTTTTTCCTTTGCAAATGAACATATGAACAAGGAGAACATGTTTGAAAAATTATTTATCTTGAACTAAATGGCTAAAAAAATTAATATTTTTCCAAATAAAGTAGGAGAGCTGACCAAACTTGATGATTCTCTGATGAACACTGAGGTGTTCAGAGAAGTGAAACAAATTTTTGTTCATCTTCAGTCGCTCTCACTGCCACTCCCCGAGTTCACGTACCAATTATTTTCACCTGTTTCCTCCAGAAACACCGTATCTGTGAACAGAATCAGATACATTTCTCACCATTTTAAACACATTGCAATAATGATAGTCCACCTGAAGCTTCTTACCATTTAGTACTTTGTCTTCATCCTCATCAATGTACTCCATGTTGTACCTTACAAAAATATTCTACAAAAAATAAAATCCTTTGTATGATCTTTCCACAAGCATATTATTTCAACATTATATGGGAAAACTAGACTTCAGTACCTTTGTGGTGACGAGTTGTTCCCAGTATCCCTGCTGCTGTTTGACCAGTTTCAGAACCGGCTCGTGGGATTTCATCTCCAGGTGGCAAAGGTCAGCGGCTATCTTTTGGTGAAGCTGCAGGTCAGCTCTGTAGATCTGACCGTTTACTCTGCCACTGAACAGAAAAAACACATTGACACCATTAAGAACGCTACCATTTTAACTAAACTCATGGAGAGCTGATGGTGTCCTCAGCTTCCTACATCCATCCAATAAGAGCGTTTGGGACAGACTATACATGTCAAATTCTATTCTAATGAGCACAGTTCACATACATTCAGAAAAGTAAATCATAAAACTAAACCCATCTGGATCTATTTCCCCAAGAGTCAAAGGTCCTGGATGCAAAGTTCCATCAAATATTAGAAGTGATCTTTGGTGTTTTGATCCAGACCAACCTGTAAACGACTCTGTCAGGGTAGAAATCCCAGAGTTGACATTCTGGATTCATCAGCTTCACTGTCAGAATCACAGAGTCGAGCGTCTGGTGCCAAACCACCTGAGGATGGAAGCTGTAACACAACCAGAGATAAAAACAAACACGATAACTCAAGAGTTTTCCTAAAAAGGTAAATAATAAAAATTCAAGTTCCACTTTATAATGTGGAAATACCAGTAGTTTTATTAGTTAGCAAATTCAGTTTACTAAAAATAGCCTTCTTACTCTCACATCTTTCCAAATCAAGTGAATCTACACTAGGGTTGGGCAATATTGTCAAAAAATTTATCACGATTAAGCGTGGTATTTAGCCGATAATGATTAATTTGACGATTAATCCCCCGGAGTCCCTGGACACCCTTGTATCCTAGTCACTTGACTTATTTATAGGGAGAAAATTTGCTCTTCGTAAAAACCTGTTCCAAATTGTGTCAAAATTACAGACTTCAGGAATTGTGTTGATAGATAAAAAAAATTACACAACTTTTTTAATGTTGGTCATATCTGAATGAGAGAGGAGCACCAAGCAGTTAGTCTGCCTGGCGGCATTAATCGTATTAATCGTCAAGTGCCAAAAATTAATCGATTAATGTTTTCTGACGATTAATTGCACACGATATGATTATGCCCAACCCTAATCTACACCAGAATATTTCCATGGTTTACTTTTGTTAATGTTAATGATTACAGCTATAATCAAAACAACATTTAGTTTCTCAGAAAATTAGAATACTATATAATAAAGATAAAACAAAGATTTTTAATCCAAAACTGTTGGCCCATTGAAAAGTAAATCCATGTACGGTCTGTGTCAGTTCATGGTACGAGCTCCTGCATGAATCACTTCATCACTGAGGTGTGGCATGGAGCCCATCACTCTGTGGGTCTGCTGAGGTTCTGGAAGCCCAGGCTGCTTTGACAGTTGCCTTCAATGAAGCTTCTTCCACCCAACAAAACTCCATAGATGCTCTGTGGGCTCAGGTCAGGCCATATTACAGTGATACCATGGATTCATTAAACTGTTTTTGTTTTTGGCAGTGTGAGCAGGTGACAAGTCTAGGAAATTAAATCAACATCTCTGTAAAGCTTTTCAATAGATGAAAACATGAAGTGCTCTAACATGTTGAGGTACATGGATGGATGCGCTGACACATGGCTCTTTAAATCCTCACTGACTGGAAACTTCACACTGCACCTAAACTTAGATACTTGTGCCTCTCCACTCTTCCTCCAGACTCTGGGACTTAAGATTAAATACAAAGCAAACTACTTTCATCTGAAAAGAGGGAGTTAGTCAAATCTAGTAAGACTCTTGGTGTGAAAAAGAAAGGACAATTGGGTCCTGGATTAGTCTGAAGGCGTTTTTGCATTGTAAGGCTCGACCCAGCCCTGCTCCAGTCAGCCCAACCCTTCTCTACTCTGACCCTGGTCGTCTTTGCATTGAGCTGCCTTGATGTTGGCGGGATCATATTAAACCTTAATGAATCTTATTTTGTGTATTTTCAACAAAACAACAATGGACTGGACCAAAATAAAAGCACCGAAGGGTCATTCAGCAATATGACGCTGAAGACATGAGGGCAAGATGATAAAAAATGGTAAGCTAATATTAGCTTTTTGTTACATCGTTGTTGTTTGATACCTCACTATTGTTGTGTAGTTAACTCAAATAAAGAAAATGTTACAATTGAAGCAAACGATTCATGCAAAGTTACTCATATCTTTGTGATGAACCAATCAACGAGAGCTGTAGCTGCTCTCATCAGTCTACTGGTCTGATGTAATATTCTTATTTTCTGAGGAACAAATTCTTAATTTTCATTAGCTGTATAAGATGAATTAAATTAATGAAATCTAAATGATTTTCTATGAAACTATTTTACTAAGCAGCACCTATCAAAGCTCTTGTGCAGAATTTTACCTTATTGTTGAGTTACTGTTGTCGTCCTTGTTATGATCAAAAACATGCTTTGTGTTGTTGTGATGAGGATCTTCAGGTAAACCTGGGAACAAAAAGTCTTGTTTTTTTTCTACAGTACTAAACACTATTATGTTGTGAGATGTGTGGAAAAGATACACACATACACACAGACAGACAGACACATACATGTAAGAACAGTTCCAACACTGCATGAGAAAAAGAGGGTGAAACATTTTACCATTTTCCAGAAGGTGGAGAGACACAGCAGTATCACTTGTGCAACATTCTTCTCCATCTCTGGCACTGTTGAGTGAAATTACAGATTTTTAATTTAAAGCAGAACAGTTACTTCCATCAAATTAACATATAAGAACCAACTGATCTCTTTTCAATTTCAACTAAATGTATGTTTAATGTTTTTAGGGAAAACTGAATGCGTTAAGAAAAGATCTGCAGTTAATTATGAGATTAATCAATTAATGTAATCCAACTGTGACCTTAAATACACAGTGCATAAATCAAGTTGAATTGTTTATAATGACATTTTGGATAGCTTGTGAATAAATGTGTTCCTACCATTAGTAAAATGGTGACAAAGGCTTGGTATCTCCTTTTAAAGCTTTGAAATTAGACAGACAAACTAATGACAAGACTCACATGCACACACTGTTTAGTACCTTGAACTAAATGGTAAACTTATATAGTGCCCCTGGGGCACACTGACGAGGCGGGGCTGCCACGCACCGGCACCACTGCTCTGACCACCATCAGTGAATGTACTAACAGAAAGAAAATAATAATAATCATCTCACAATTACCAGAAAAAGAATGATATGGTACCATGTTCCCTACAGCATTCTGTGGGGGGTGTTGCAGGAGTATGAGGCATTGATCTGTATTACTGGACTGGACATCATGTGACTTATTGTGTGCTGTACAGGTGCCATAGCTACAAACTGTGGGTCAGTGCCACGTCTGATAGTTTCCACAGTAAATGCATTAGCAAAACCTACAATTAAAAGTTCCCGGACTGCTTATTAATATATCTCTTGGGAGAATACTTATTTTTACATGTAACAACATCAGCAGTTTTCTCAGCTTTAATTTAAGACATATTTTATAGAAATCGGATAATAAATAAGGGCTCTTTGAATACTTTTGTGAAAGATTGGTGTGCATCCCGCATTGGAACGATATCATTTTGTTGACATGACTCAGCACATAGTAATGGCGGCTATGGAGCTAATAGGCAAAGTCCAATTTAGTAATACAGATCAGTGGTATGGGGTACCAGAGTCTGGTTTGGGAATGTCAGAGTCTCATCTCTGTTTTTTGCAGATAATGCGAGCCATGAACTGGAGCGGTTTGCAGCCACGTGTGAAGCAGTGGGATTAGAGTCAGCTACTTAAAGTTTGAAGTCAGGGTTCTTAACAGGAAAAAGGCAAACTACTTGGTTTAGTTCAGGGATGAGTCTCTGCCTTGAATGTTAGAATTCAAGGATATGATTCTTGTTCTTGTGACAGGATGGAGCCGTAATGGGGCTTCATAAGCAGTAATGAGGGGGTTGCTTTATACCAGTGGTGTCAAACTCATCACAGATATTCACATAAGCATTATGGTGGCCTCCAAAGGGATAGTTGTTATAACTTTGACATTTCATGTTTAACTTAAACATAAAACGTTAAGTTCCTCTACATATGAAGAGTTTTACCATGTTCTCTTATAAACACTGAAAAGTACTAAGTGCACAACTGACTAAATGTGAAATAAATGCAGAAATACTATTAAAATTAACAGTGTTTTCCTCGCTGTTCAGCTGTGATAAGTACCGTTTTGAATACTGAATTCTGCCACTTTACAACAGGAAATTCTCAATGTAGGGGCATTCCAGTTTGAATTTGTGACTTGTAAGTGGGAAATTCCCACTTCCCAGTACAACAGGGTCACAGCAAAAATGGCTAGCAAAAATGGCTGGTTAAAATGAAGCTAAATAGATATTTTACACAGAGAAATTTGTCAGCTGCCAGCCACTTTTGAACCTTGTGCAGCTCTCCACTTAGTGGTGGGATGCCATCCTTTCACGGGTAAAATAATCAGCATGCATTATGGGAGATGTAGTTTATGGTCAATGCTGGCTCTAAAGCAGCATAAGCTATCGCAGTTCTTATAAAATGCAGCAGCAGGCCACATTTGGCCCATGGGCCTTGAGTTTGACACATGCTTTTTCGGCTTGGGAGAGGGATGAGACTGAGTTGTTTTTATTACAGCTAACATATTTTCTTCTGCCTGCGGCTGCAATGCACATTGAAGGGAACAGTCAAGTTTAGAAATAAACATGGCATATACTATTAATCCTAACTTTATTTGGTCTATCAACAGTTTAAAAACTGTTGTATAGCTTTAGGTCTCTATTTTTGACACAAATTGAAACAGTCTCATAGAAGGCGTATATTTCTGGCTAGAGTAATTTAAATAGGTCATGTGAATAGGCCAGAGGTTTAATACACCGTCACCATATTGTAATACCAAGGTTACCACAATACTGTCCTACTGTCCAAGCATGGATGGATAAATACAAACCTTTGCACGAGCTCTGAAGTGCTGATGTCTTTCTGTCTGCTGGCAGATTCACAGACTGACAGTGAAGGAGTTTGAACAGTGAAATGATTTGTTGGAGCTTTCAGACTGAGCAAAGGGTCTGGTGTGGACACCGGTGTGTCATCTGCAGCTCTGTCTGTTTTGATCTTTACTTGAACAGATACTGAATCCTCCTCCAGCCTGTAAATGTAATTATCTTGCGATCAGTCTGATTTTAGAACAAGTGATTGAACAGTTCAGGGACTTTCCTTACCTGGATGTGTTCTCTGTATCTTTGTTGACCAGATCTCCTTCACACAGTGCTCTCAGTAGGTTCAGATGATCTGGGTTGCTGACTGCCATCCCTGTGTTCAGAATCTCAGACTGCACGTTGTATTCATTGATCAAAGTTTTCATACCTGGCACCTTGGTTAATCGAACCTGTGGAACAGAAGAAACTGTTAAAACAGTCTGTTACTGAGTCAAAGGGTTAACTGTCAGTTACACAAACCCACCATTACTGGTTGTTTCTCCACCATCTTTACTTTTTCATTAGCTTCTCTTAACTGCTTTGTCTTTGTGCCATTTTCACAAAGGAAATAACTAAACTTAGCACAGAGATGAAAATGCAGTTGATAATAAAAGTCTGGAAGCATTAATGTTTTTGCCAAACTATCAATCCAAACCTGGAAAATGCAAAAATCTAATTCCTAACTTTTCAAGACAACCAGACCAGATCAGCTTAACTTCACCTGATATTATAAGCCATAGTCATTTTTGACCATGTCTCTGCTTCTCATGTTTTGTTTTGTTGGACCTGTGTTGGTGCACACTGACCCCTGTAGGCTAGGATTTAGGGACAATAATAAAAGCCATGGAGGTAAGATGTTCCTGCTAACAAAATATGTTCTTGGTCAGACTTCAATCAAATCCTGAACCTTGTCTATGTATTTGTTTTCAAAAATACAAGAGAATATCAAGCAATATATAATAAATATTTTAATCACAAAATGTTCACTTGCTTCCCACAGCCAGGTGCTGCTGGACAGAAACAAATTGCATTTGGCTGTGTGACTGCAAAGCTGATCTCAGTAAAAACAAGACGTGATTAATTATATAAGTCAGCACAGACAGGAGATGGACTGAACTACTTATGGAGGAAAAACATTACGATTGCAAAGTTCCTTTAAAAGTCCAAAATACAAAATTTTGTAGAAGTGACACAAATCTAAATGAAGTTCAATAAAAGAACAAGACAAAAATAAATAAATAAAAACAACTCACCATACAATCAAGAAAAACCGTGTTTCCCAGACTTAGAACAACTCGTGATTGATGCTGCAGACCTCGGATCTTCTGGCTGATGGCTCTCGTGACCTTTAAGACAGAAATTGTTTAAAAGTGATGTGATGTTGTCAGGCCTCACTGCAAAAACAACGAGAGCATGGGACGCAGCTTATTCTTTGGTTAAAGAAAAAGGGCAACACAGTTCTATGTAAACTTTTTATTTTGTAACTGGAAGTTACATTTTCTTCTATTTAAAGTGGAACTTACCCCCCCTGTGAAAGTATAACTCCGCCCCCGAAGCAAATTTGAAAAATGCATAAAGTGGAGACTCTGAGGGGGTGGGGGTGAGCAAGGAGGTGTGGCCAGGAGGAGAGAAAGTTTTTTTATTAAGACGAGACAACGTGACACAGCTTGCTTTAGCTTATTTTGACAAGCTAACATTCGTGAAAATATTTCTGAATGTTCTAAATAAATGACTTTGTAAAAAGTAAAGTTTCATGATATACATGCAAACTCACATTTAGCTGATACAACATATAATAATGTAAAGTTCAGGCAAAAAAAAAAAAGAAAAAAAAAACTGTTCAAATATGACTTTGGTCCAAAACAGAACAGAAAGGATATGTTTTCATTTCTGTTTGGTTCCCTGTTTCTATTAAAATTCACAATACAGCTCAGTCTGGGCCTGACAAGTGTTCTGTACCCCCGGATCATTCCGGACACTGCAGCCGATTTCACACCAGTCCACCCCGGCAGCAGAGGTGTTCGGGCGGCCTGATGTGAAAAACCCCTCCGCTGCCGGTTCACCGGCATCATAAAACAAACTGAATTAACTTCTCTTTGCGGTTAAATATATATTTTGAATAAATAAAAGGTTGTTTTTTCACGTACAGTTTAGATCAGGACACACACGAAAAAAAAAAAAACCCTACGGTGATCCGACAGCTTTAAAATGTTCCTAAGTTTATAAAGACCTCAGCATTTTTAGTCTTTGTGGGGACAATGCCTGTGGATGTTCCGGGATGTTCTGACACGGCGCAAGTTGCAACCTGGAGCAGCGGTGATTGTCAGCGAGGGTCCAGTTCTGTGACAGCAGGACCGCACGGAGCAGTCAGCTGTCCGGTTCTGTAACTTCTGTTCAGTCCGATCCATACCAGGACTTGCTTGAAAAATTATCAGGAGCAGTTTAAAGAGCTGATCACGGACATCCACGTCTTTTTTTTCCCATCACTGCCTCGAGGTAAGTTTCTGTCATCCCGCTGCCTGCTGCAGGTGTCCGGACATCCTGATGTGTAAAACCCTCAGCAGCGGAGGCACATGTTCTGGTCTATGTGCACTTAAGAGGACATTCGGCGGAGCGAGCCGCTGAGCTTCAACTTTTATTCTTTCCAGAACACAGTAAGGCTGTGGCTATGATCTATAATAATCATAATAATAGCCGTGTGTGTGTGTGTGTGTGGGGACATGTTTTATCGCACAGGTGGTGACAATGTGTGTGTGCGAGGGTGTGTGTGTATTTTTGGCCCGATCTAAACTACGTGACACAACAACCACAGTTTAAAAACTCTTGAAGCACAAAGAGGATGTGTAAGTTAATTCAGTTTGTTTTATGACTGATAGACTCCATGTTTTCAYTGWGGSKGAGGAGAAGGCAGCTTCTACCACAGCTACCATCAACAATGCTATGGCTAACTCCCGAATCTCTGCAGGGCGTGTCTCTACAGAGCTTTTTATACTGAGCACAGTACTGTGACACGTCACACGGTACAGCACGTCACAAGGTACTTCAAATATAATAGTCAAACTTTAAACCCATAGGCACCAAGACGTTTTTTGAACAAATATTGACGATTTAAACTATTTTAGACGAAAATGTTGAATTTAGGTCAAAAATAGCAAGGTATTACCCTTAAGACACAATTTAGTTTATTTGTTTAAAAAAAGTTGATTTTGGGGTAAGTTACACTTTAACTACTTATATTCCTTCATTGTTTGGGGTTATGTGTTTGCAATTTATGTGAATCTATATTATTCCACTTTGTCATCTTATTATATTGTACTTATTTTTGTAGATGTACAATGAAAAAACAAGTGATCACATGTGAAAAGTGTGATGTTCTGTCCATTTCAGCTTCTCATTCATTTCCTCTCCACAAGCAACAGACTCCTCTAGATGAGGTGAGTCGGACCAGGTTTAGTTCAATGCTTTGCAGTGAGTGCTTCAGATATCTTTTCCTACTGAAAGGTTCAAAGTAACACAAGTTACTGTTTTACTCTGACAAAATAAGGCTCTGGGTTTGAAACTTAGGTTATGCCCACACAGCAGGCAAATCAGACTTTTTTTGCCCAGCTGCCCATGATTTTTTAATGATTTTTTTTTGTGAGTTCACGCAGCCAACACTTATTGGCAACAGTTTTTTAATGCGGATGAATGCAGTTATTCATTTCTTTATTTCTCTGGGCTGGCTATGAACAAGCAGACACACAAAAACTTTTAGAAAAAAATCCTGCATTATAAAAATTATATTGCAGCACAGAAAATTGTTGAGGAAATAATATCCAAATTAAAATGTGAATGCAAACCTTGGGGTGCCAGTCCTTCTCAGCATCAGCTGGTTTCACCCTGCAGATGACCATTTCAATGGCTTGGCCTGGCAGAGACTGAAACTGCTCTGGTAGCTGAAGGATCTGATGAGATTTCACTTCCTCCTCTTTTCCAACATCAATGAAGTCAACGAGAACAGCAAAAAACAAACAGTCGCCACACTTAGGTATGGAGAGGATCTTCACCCTGCACACAGACAGACCGTACACATTCTTCTGTCTTAATTATGAATACATCGCTTTCAGTTTTCTTTTAAACAGGTCAAATGCAGCTCTGTAGTATTCAAGTCTGGACTTGAATACTACTTGAACCTTCGACTTCCTGCATTGATGAACTTCTTTGTTTTGTTGACAGTGTGTTTGAGTGATGAAAATTATTAAATCAGAGATGTTTTTAAAAGCTGGTAGACAAAATGTTTGTGTAAACTGTAAAAAGTTAATTTTCTTTTCCATCAAGTAAAAGTTCATCTTTATCTAATCAGTTCAGAAACTTTTGCTCAGAATATTTGAGTCTCACCTCTGTACTTCTATATTTATGTGAGTGTATAAACACACACATTGTTCTAAGAACACACCCCTCCAACACCTCCTCACCTGAAGTTGCAGCACATAATATAGAATTCTCTCATTTTTTTTGTACAAATCATTAATTTGAAGAACTGCACTTTTTTCTCTTTTGCACAAGGTTATGGAACAGCTGGGTTTCAGTCACGTGGTTTCGAAGGCAGAGCGATTTCTATTGGAAGGCAGGAAGTAAAATGTCTATGGAGGAAACTGTTGAAGAGATTCCTCATTGTATGGATTTAGATCCTATTTCAAGACAAACAGAAATTAGTTCATGAACATGTCAGACATGACTCGTATGATGAAAGGGGATGAGTTTGACAGAACCTAAAGAGTTGCTGACAATAGAGGCTGTTGGTACCACACACTTCTTACTTTACCAAGTGCCAAATAATAAATCTTCATAAGTTTTTCTGATGAATAATTCCACATGATTCTGTCCAAACCTATGAAGCACTGAAGATTATCATACACAAAGATGAAAAATGTAAAAAGCTCAAAGAACGACGATGTAAAAAGTGAATTTTAAACTATTGGGAGGAGCAGGATGCCGGTGTCTATTGCGATCACTTCAACAGAGGTATGTTACCTGCTAACTTGTTTTTAGAGGTTATGTTTATAAAGCATTAGGTTGTTGTAAAATTCTCATTTATTTAGTAGCAGTATTAAGTTACTGGTAGTTTAATATAGACTTTATCTGCACTTTTCAAGCTGCCCTGCATTCTGTGTCGTTTGGTGTTGCATGTTTGTTGACGTTGGCTGCTACTGCCAGCGTCTTAATATATAAAAGAAAAATATCAGAACAAACACTCACCCTGGCAAAGTGAGCCAATCAGTGAGGAGCCGTTTGCAGGGTTCCCACAACTTGGTCAACATCAAATTCAAGGACCTTTCAAGGACTTTCCAGTACCAATTTCCTCAAATTAAAGAACCACGCGCAACGGCAATTTACCGCTACCAATAAACAGGTAGTTTAACGTAACGCAGTTACCTTTTGCTACCACATAACGTTACCAATAACAGGTTGTTGAGTTAGAAACAGTGAAAGAAAGTGGATTAAACAGGGCTCTAGAGTGCGACTAATTTGGTCGCAAATGCGACCTTATTTTTTAATAGTACGCCTTAAAATATTTCCGTTCGCACTGGTGCGCCCAGTCGTTCCGGGGGGTTGCCCGCTGAAACAAAAAGTCTCCATGTCCCGTAATAAAGCTGTCAGTATGAACACAGCGCTCTGCTCTTCACCCCCCGCGAGCACACACATGCTTGTTCTTCTATCCTCGTGAGGACTTTCCAATTGTCCCCTCCGTGAAGCAAAAACATGCGCGCGCACACAAGAGCTCTGGCGCGCAGTGAGTCAACCATGTTTTTTTTCTTCCAAACCAGAGTCGGAAAAAACTTTTCTTTTTTGTAGTTAACTGTGGAAATTAAATGTGGATGGTTGCTTGCTCTTAGTCTCAGTAGTCTTGCTTGTCTCAGTAGCAGGCGCGTCATTAGACCTGGGCTTCCGGGGCTTTAGCCCTGGATGTTTTGTCAGTAGCTCCAGATCAAAACGACACCTGCTCTCTCACTGACCGATTCTCCTCCAGGAGCGGGACGGTACGATTGCGTCACCATCAGCTGTTTGTGCTTCCAAGCTGTGTGGGAGGAGGCAGAGGGCTCTGGGAGGAGGGAGATGGACTTTTTTTCACCGACATCTCACAGCAGCGGGAGCGAATTTACCGTAATAACTGTATGCTGGCTGTAAAGAGCAGCGTCGCAGTTTGCAGACAGTCAAAATTTTTCTGATGGCACAAACTGTCGCAAAGTTACGAGCTTTTAAATCTGACGCTTGTTAAAACTCTCATCATGCGACTGAGACATTAAATGGATTCATGCTCTTCTGCTGAAGTTCAGGTAAGTTTTTCAGCCAAAATCATAATTTATTAGAACTGAAAGTCTTTGTGTAGAGCAGAATATGAATGCTGGTGATGGAGTTGCTTGTTTCTATGCGTGTGTAACTTTACGTGTGTGTGGGCACGTTTTTGCTACGTTGAGGGAACCATTTTTCTGAAAAAAGCAGCCTTGTGGGGACCAAATGTGCATCGTGGGTTGGGTTTAGGACCAATGTGTGAATTGAGTTTAGGTTAGTTTTAGGGTCAGGTAAGTACCTGTGTGGTTAATTTTAGGGTAAATGGTCAGGGTTATGATATAAAATTACCAGAAAATGAATGGAAGTCAATCCATGGTCCCCACAAGGAAATAAAACCAAACCTGAGTATGTGTGAATATGTATGGTGGGATTAGTTTATTTGAAATGACTACAAGGTTCAGGAAACGTGATTAATTTAATCTGTAGTTTCAGAGGCTGCCAGAGAAAAATGTGTGTGAGAGGTGATGAAGGTGGGATTTGCTGTTTATTTTTTACTGTATAAACAAGAGTGTAGAGCTCATGTTTTTGTTGTATTTTTCTTCTCCCATCGTCCTGCAAGTTGAAAACTATGTCCTGCGTTTGACTGTGTCAAATTATGAATAGCTGAAATAAACGAACAAGATGATAGATAAAAAGATAATTTCATGGCGGCATTTTGCAGCCACTAAATAACTGTCAAAAAAAAGTGCAGCTTCAACAAAGACTGGCAAATCCTGTCAGTCTATATAGACAGACAGATAAGAGCAGCTCAGTCCTACAGGACAGCTGTTCTGCTCCTTCCAGCTGTAGACTTGTGTGGATCTGGTTATGATTTCCTGTTATTTAATGTTATTTTTTCATTATGCTAAAATTAAAAGGTGTTAAACTTTAGAGAATGTTTCTGAACCAAAGTTTTTACTGAAAAAAAAAAAACATTTTTTTTCTTTAAACCTTAAAAACATTGTGCACCAACAGTCAAAACAGAGAATAATTAATGTAATGTGGGAGCTATAATAAATTTAAAGTTATGACATCATAACATTGATGAGGTGCACATTGTCTCTTGTTAGCATGCTTTTTGTCCCACATTCATTGTTTCAGGATCTGGCCACCCTAACAGGAAGTTTCACAGCTCATGATCGACAGCCACCATAAAGACAGGACCAAACAGTGTAGGGCAAGTTCTATTTCTTTTGAAGTTTTTCTGTGTCAGTAAATTTCTCAGAGCTTTCCAAAACAAAAACAATATAAGGGTACAATTTTCAAATATGATCTTAGATAAAGTTCAGCTCAAAGACCATGTAGACCATGATTTACAGTAAGTACCATATATACTGTAAAAGTTTTATGTTTTTGTAAAGGGGTGGCCACCTCTTAAAACACACTTCAAATGGCTGGAAAATGCAGAGTCTTTAGTATATTTTTTCAGAAATTTCTGGGGTGTCAGCATCTGAACCCTCCTGGACTCACTTTGTTCTGCTGGTGCTCCTAGGTGAAACTTATTGTTATCAATACAAATCATTTCTATACAACTTGTTAAATTAAATATATATGTACAATCTTGTTTTTAAAAAGTTATACTGTTTTGTCACCATGAACAATCTGATGTTTAGTTGAGGTGTTGGAGCTGTTACTGATACAACAGATGATTTTGGCAATGATCAAATGATGGTCTGGCTGTAAACAGCCTTCTATCTTGTGTCTTTACTTTCCTCTGTGGTACTAATGTCTGGATGTACCAGAACACAACTATTCTGTAAGAGCTGTCCATATGTCTGTTGGGAGCAAAAAATAGAGGAGCCTGGGTTACAATTTCAAATCTTCTCTTGTTACATAAAATAAGCAAATAATGTGAGAGCATGTTTAATTGACTTTAAAAAAGAAATATCAGCAACATGTAGTTTTTATAACTGCTCCTTACTGCTGACAGAAATTATTTGTAACAGCACGTTATATCCTACACATTTTATATATAAATCAATTTTATCCAGTGACTAATATAATGATCAAACAAACAACATATAACAACAACAGTTTTAAAAATGGACAAATACAGACATGAAAGAGCACTTTTTAAAGAGGGACGAGGAAGAAGAAGAGGTCTGGGCTAAAGCCCCTGATGTTTCAAGAGCCTAAAAACGCCCCTGCTCAGTAGTAAAGTCCATCAGGCTCTCTGCTCTGGGAGCGCAGCAGCAGATCATTCCAGCAGCATGACCGAGCTCATCTGCATGGCAAGCCGCTGTTACATGTAATTGGCTTCACCACAGTTACGTTTCAGGTTCTGAAAATGGTTTTATGACTACACAGCTTAGTTTTTTAGTGAGAGATACATATCCATCCATCCATTTTCTGTACACGCTTCTTCCTTTTCAGGGTCGCGTGGGTCACTGGTGCCCATATCCAGCAGTCACAGTGCGAGGGGCGGGGTACACCCTGGACAGGTTGCAAGTCCATCACAGGGCCACACATAGAGACAAACGAGACAAACAAGCATTCACTCTCTCACTCACACCTAGGGACAATTTAGAGTTATCAATTAACCTAACAGTCATGTTTTTGGTTTTGTGGGAGGAAGCCGGAGTACCCGGAGAGAACCCACGCATGCACGGAGAGAACATGCAAACTCTACCCAGAAAGGTCCCCGGACCGGGATTTGAACYGGTGACCTTCTTGCTGAGAGGCATCAGCTCTACCAACTGAGCCACCGTGCCGCCGAGAGATACATAAAATTCAACTAATACAAATTAAATTGAAGAGTTTTTCATGTTATGTTATTTTCATTATTTTAAAAAGCTTTTTCTCATTTAATAAATATTAGTAATATTTCTGCTGTTAATCATAATTCTCTGTTCATCATTCTGGTTTAGCCAAGGCCAAAGATCCTGAAGGCCAAACGACAGGAGTTGCCCATCTGAGGGGCAGTGTAGTTTAAAAAGCATTTAACCATGAAATGTTTAAGATGTTTAAAAAATGTTCAGCTTTTAAACATTTTTACTTAGAATTTAGAATTTCTTTCATTTTATTTATCTTGATGTTTAAGTTAAAATTTCAGGTCATAGAATCACTTTAAAATTACTTTTCAGTAAGTTATATGTCTACAATTCTGGCTCAAATATAGAACTTTATTTTTGTTAGATTGTATTGCCTTAATGGACAATGACTTAAAAAAAGTGAACCATTAAAAACATCGATGTTAAATGTGATGCGTTTTCAAATTTGGGTGCACCTTAGGGCTGCACAATATATCAAAAATTTATCGTTATCGCAATAATAGACTGTGTAATATGCATATCCCAACAACTGCATAAACTGCAATAAATGGTTGACTCAAAAGTTTGCATCGATGCATTTTGTCATTCAGATGGAAGCTTGAAGTATTTCACCAGTCGAATGAAGCCCTTTATGTATTTGGTCAACTGGATGGATCTCTTCATATTTAAAAAGAAAATTTAGGCTGGAATGGAAATGATTAGTTTTTTTAGGTTGTTTTCTTGGCTTTGAACCCAAAGCAGAAAGACATCAACACTACATGCTTATGTATTTGCTCATTTATCGCAAGTCATTTCATCATCGCAATATTAAGCACTATTATCGCACGTTTTCCTAATATTGTGCAGCCCTAGTGCACCTGACTTTTGTACTGGTGCACCTAAGGAAAAATGTTAGGCACACCGGTGCAACCAGTGCAAAAAGTTAGTCTAGAGCCCTGTTAAACTTACACCCTACATTCATGTCCACAATACATGGACATGTAATTATGTCCTGGGAGGTTCAGCAGCTCAGTTTGGGAGGAGGGGATGTGAACATGTCCAGGAGGAGACATGAGGTGCTCTCACCTGGGCTCAGAAAGAAGGACCTGCCCTACTCTGCTCTGATTGGATAAAACTATGACTATGACTCACGTTATTTGTTGAAAGCCACATCAGTTTCCCGTAATCCTGAGTTATCCACCACAAAAAATGAAAGTTTTTATTTTACTTGATAATATTTATTTATTTTTTTACGATGATAAAAATCAATCATGTGAATAGAGAACTTCAATCCTCAAAAAACATTCAAGGACTTTCAAGGACAAGTGTAATTTTTGTCTGTTTTCACAAACTTTCCAGGGCCTTGAAATCATTTTTTCAAATTCACAAACTTTCAAGGATTTCAAGGACCCGTGGGAACCCTGCGTTTGGTACAGAGGTTGTGAATACACCGCTGAATAAAATGTTCTATGCCTCAAGTTGTTTTTAAGCTTTCATCTGCTGTTTGGTGTACTTAGCTCAGTCTCATTGCTCACTCCCGAGATCACTGTCTCTCCATCGCTGACACACTTTATTCAACTTTCGCCTCTTTTTATTTTCATTTTCCTGCAGATTTTTTTCTGCTTGTCTAATACTTTCAGACGTCAGTCAGAAAAAAATGTATATTTATTCCTTATTAATTCTGTAAAAATGATTGGAGCAGCCGTAAACTCCATAAAACATGGGCATTTTTCCAAATGGCAGATCCTCGACTATTTCACTTCCTGCCTTCCAACTAAAGTTCACGCTCTGCATTGTGACGTCACGTGAACCCCACCTATACAGCACAGGGTTTATGGATTGCTCCTTATTTTCATTTTACTTTTCTCAATGAAAACAAAGATTCTGATTCTAAATCATCTGCAAATTAGCTGTGCCAAGGTATTTTGAAATTTTAAAGGTAATTGTAAACTAAAGGAGTATTTGTTTTTTCTATCACAACCTTTACACAATCTCATAACAATCAATGTTGAGATTGTGGTAGAAACATAAAAATTCACATCAAAAACATAATTTTTTGGCAACTATTATGGCTTTAACTTCTATAGCATTTAGTACTTTTGTAGAATTATTACTTTTATCCAAATTTAAGTAATTTAAAGCAACAAAATAGGAAGAATAGCAAGAGGTGTGAACACTCTGGCAACCCACTGTAACACTGCACTATTTTATCTTTAGATGAAAACCAGATCTGTGTTCACAGTTCTGTGTTGGAATGGAAATTTGCATTTAATAAATCTCCAAAGGTCAAACCTGTGGAAGACGTCGTCCTCTTGCACTGCATATAAACATCCTTCCAGCAGCTCCGTGGCTCCTGGCTTCTTGTCAGCGTAATAAGAAGCCATCCCAGAGGCCATTAAATTAAAACATTTGTCATCCTTCCTGACCATACGGCCAGAAAACACTGAGGCTGACTTAATGAAGAGAGGCACAACCTAACATACAAACAGATCCAAGAACCCTAGTTATTATCAAAGCTTTATATTCACATCATTAACATTTTATACAAGACCAACAGTTTGTTTCACAATCTAACAGATTTACTAACTCTACAACTTCATTTAGCTTTTCCAACCTAACTGATGCAGTTATAGAGATTAGCCTTTGTGTAAACCATTATTCTTTGGATGATAAAAAATAATGTTACCTCAATGACTCCAGACGACGGGAGCACAGACTGATCCAGCTGGGAATGAAATTGATGGCGATCAGGACACACACTGCTGTCTCTGCAGGAAAAGACACATGAAATGTTTTGATTACAAACAACACACTTTCAGCCATTCTTGGCTAAAGCTAGCCATTCCATAGCTGTGTTTTGGGTCATTATCCTGTTGAAGACCCATGACCTGTGACTGAGACCAAGCTTTCTGACACTGGGCACATTTCTCTCTAGAATCCTTGATAGTCTTGAGATTTCATTGTACCCTGCACAGATTCAAGACCCCGTGTGTCAGATGTAGCAAAGCAGCTCCAAAACATAACAGAGCCTCGTCAATGTTTCACAATAGGACAGTTTTCTTTTCTTCATATGCTTCATTTTTCTCTGTGTGAACATAGAGCTGATGGGCCAAAACGTTCACTTTTTGTCTCATCTGTCCAGAGGACATTTTCCCAGAAGCTGTGTGTTTTGTCAACATGTAGTTTGGCTTTTCTATGATTTGGTGTCCTCCTTGGTCATCTCCAATTAAGTCCACTTTGACTCAAACGACAACAGATGGTGTGATCTGATACTGATATTCCTTGAGCTTGAAGTTCACCTTTAATCTCTTTAGAAGTTTTTCTGGGCTCTTTTGTTATCATTTTTATTATCTGTCTCTTTGATTTGTTAATTTTCCTCCTGCAGCCACGTCCAGGGGGGTTGGCTACATTCCCATGGATCTTAAATGTCTGAATAATATGTGCAACTGTAGTCACAGGAACATCAAGCTGCTTGGAGATGGTCTTATAACCTTTACCTTTAACATGCTTGTCTATAATTGTCTTTCTAACCTCCCGAGACAACTTTTTCCTTCACTTCCTCTGGTCCATGTCGAGTGTGGTCCACACCATGTTACCAAACAGCACAGTGAGTATCTGTAGCCCTGTATACAGACCCACTGACTGATTACAAGACTGTAGACACCTGTGATACTAATTAGTGGACACAAAAGATTTACTATGTCCCTTTGGTCACATTTTTTTCAGGGGTACCATCATTTCTGTCTAAACCTGTTTCATGAGTTTTATTTTAAAAGAAAATTCTGTTGAAGCCTGTCTGAAAAGACATGTCTGAATTTAATTTGTTCAATTTTATAGAACATTTATTTATTGCTACTTTTGTCAGATTCGAGTTATTACTGTGACCTTTGTGGGTTTTTCTTTCATTAAACGAGTGGTACCAACAGTTTTGTCCACATGTGTAAATCTTGACATTTAAGAAGCTGTGAGGCATTTCTGACTGAAAATTCTGGTTAGAAGTCAGTCTTGTGCAGACCTACCTGCAGAATCCAAAGCTCTTCAGGTAGCTGCAGAGAGGGCGATCCATCTTCTGGTCTTCACGGGCCACTTGAACCCCCTGAGCAAAAGCTAGGAGTTCAGGGGGCAGCAGGGCATTAGTTCTCTTAAGGTAGCGTAGAACTCCAACAACATGGGAGGCGTTCTTCTCTGAAAGCAGCAGGACCGACCTGCAGACCTGAGAGTTGTGCCCCGTTTGATCCTGGGAGCAAACCTCAAAGGAAAAACAATAAGACACTTCAATTAGTTTTTTTGTTAGCTACAAACATTGAACCATTTTTAAAATACTTATCATTTACATTTAACTTTCTCTTATGAGAAATAGCATATTTCAGGCTTTTTAGCACAGCATGCAAAAACAAACTATATCTACAGAGCTTCAAGAGGTTAGCGTAAAAACAACAACAACAACAACAATAGACAACTACTAGGGTGGTTTGTTTTATGTGAAGTTGGAAATGCCTCAACCATCATTGGTAGTTCTGCACCCCCAGTTTACTATGTTAATTTACAATAAAAGTACAGCGGGTAAAATAAGTATTGAACACGTCAACATTTTTCTCAGTAAATATATTACTAGAGGTGCTAATGACATGAAATTTTCACCAGATGTCGGTAACAACCCAAGTGATCCATACATACAAAGAAATCAAACCATAAATGTCCAAAAATGAAGTTATTTGTGATAATCTGGAATGGCACAGGGAAAAAGTATTGAACACACTTACTGAAATTTATCCAATACTTAGTACAAAAGCCTTTGTTGTCAATGACAGTCTCAAGACGCCTCCTGTATGGAGGCATGCATTGCTCAGGTGTGATTTTGGCCCATTCTTCCACACAGTCTTCAAATCTTGAAGTTTTTGTGGACCTCTTCTATGAACTCTGATCTTTAGTTCTTTCCATAGATTTTCTGTTGGATTCAGGTCAGGTGATTGGCTGGGCCATTCCAGCAGCTTTAGTTTCTTTCTCTGAAACCAACTGAGAGTTTCCTTGGCTTTGTGTTTGGGCTCATTGTCTTGCTGAAATGTCCAGCCACGTTTCATCTTTATCATCCTGGTAGATGGAAGCAGATTTTTATCAAGAATGTCTCTGTACATTTTTCCACTCATCCTTCCTTCAATTATTTGAAGTTTGCCAGTACCATATGCTGAAAAACAGCCCCACACCATGATGTTCCCACCTCCAAACTTCACTGTTGGTATGGTGTTTTTGGGCTGATGTGCAGTGCCATTTGACCTCCAAACATGATGTGTATTCTGGCATCCAAACAGTTCAATGTTGGTCTCATCTGACCAGACTATATTCTCCCAGTATTACACAGGCTTGTTTAAATGTTGTGCAGCAAACTTTAAAGGAGCTTCAACATGCTGTTTCTTCAGCAGTGGGTCTTGCGTGGTGAGCATGCATACAGGCCATGGTGGTTCAGTGCATTACTTATTGTTTTCTTTGAAACAAACGTACCTGTTAATTCCAGGTCTGTCTGAAGCTCTCCACAAGTGGTCCTTGGCTCTTGGACAACTCTTCTGATAATTCTTTTCACTCCTCTGTCAGAAATCTTGCGAGGAGCACCTGGTCGTGGTCAGTTTATGGTGAAATAATGTTCTTTCCACTTCTGAATTATGGCCCCAACAGTGCTCACTGGAACTTCAGAAGTTTAGACATTCTTCTGTAACCGATGCCATCATTATGCTTTGCAACAATAAGGTTGTGAAGGTCTTGAGAGAGCTCTTTACTTTTACCCATCATCAGATGTTTCGTGTGTGGTACCTGGCCATCATTTGGGACTGAACCAGCTGATATTAACTTGCACTGACAAGGGGCAGGCTTGCTTTCCAATTACTGAGAGAATTCAGATGGTGTCTTGGCTTTCCATGCCTTTTTACACCTCCCTTTCTTCATGTGTTCAATACTTTTTCCCTGTGCCATTCCACATTATTACAAATAACTTCATTTCTGGACATTTATGGTTTGATTTCTTTGTATGTATGGATCACTTGGGTTGTTACAGACATCTGGTGAAAATTTCATGTCATTAACACCTCTAGTAATATATTTACTGAAAAAAATGGTGACGTGTTCAATACTTATTTTACCCGCTGTATGTAATTAATGTACATCAAGTATTGTCTGACATTTTTTCTTGTATTTATTAATATTATTATTATTAACCTGAGAAGTAGTGTTATAGTAGGAAAGGAGGTCTATGAAATCTGGATTATTGGATAATTAAACCAAAAATGAGCAGATAAATAGATGTTCTTTTTATAAAGGAAACAGAATTTTGTCAAGACTTACTCCTTCACAAAGATTTCTGAAGTTTTCAGCCATGCAGAAAAGTCTGCTGCCAAACACTTTGGGAGAAGTGGGAAACCCGTAGTGGATGAGACAAGTTGCATCTCTGATACTGAGACACTTCAGACAGTCATTGGTGGTCACTAAAAGTCACAGAAAAAACAAACAAGTGAAAGCAGGGTTCCATTTCAGTCAGATTGTTTCCTGTTGTTAATGTCAAAAGTTGGTGGAAAGGTACCCAGAATAACTTGAGTGCCTGAACCAATGTCCTTCCTCCATTGCTCCATCACAAAGTCAAACTGGTGAGTCAGTCCTTCATGGGTCTTCAGACAGAAAGCTGATTTGTTGCTAACAGCCTGGAAAAGAATAAAGATAGGTGAATACAAACTTAGTAGGATAATCTCTGAACCTCCTGCAGCATACGGAATGACCACTGGTGTGGGTCTGGGGTCTTCCTTTTCACCAAGTGGTTGACTGGAATCCTGTTTGGGTTTCTTGTCTGCTTCCAGAAAAGCCCAGTTAGGATAACCTCACTGCTCCAGRGCCTGTCTTGTGTGTGACTTCTCTTTCTCTCTGGCTCCTGTGTTTGTGGGGACACTGTCTGCTCTGTGGTACAGAGTTCTGATGACTCCTAACTTGTGTTCCAGTGGGTGATGGGAGTCAAAACGCAAATACTGGTCTGTATGGGTGGGTGTGGGATACACGTCAGTTTCCAACCGTCCTCCATCAGAGACTGAGACGTCACGGTCCAGGAGCACCATCTTGTGTTCTTTGAAAGGCCTTGCAGAATGTAAGAGGCTCTGCATTAAATTCTGTGCCAAAAGGCCCATGAGTTAAGGGATGTTCAAACTACTTCTAAATTACTAAAAGCTAAAAAGCAGTAAAATAATAAGATAGTTGTCTCTTATCCTCCTACAGTTTTTGTTTGCGTTTGTTGATTGACGTATGTAAAAGAGGACTTCTCCTACATTTCTGCAGATATAATGAACAGACGGAGCAGTAGTCACCTTGAACACTTCTTCCACCTCCTGAGCAGAGTTTGTCACAATCAACGACTTCTGACCAACGACAGGGTTGAAATCCAACACACCCAACAGCGCTGCCATCTTACTACTCTCCACCGTCATGAGGATAACCTGCATGAAAATGGGACAATCAGGGGAAACTACTATTTACTTTTCTCAGGAAATATTTTGACCTTCTGGACATAAATATATAAAACAACTTTGTCCAGTCTGACGTTTATCTGAAGTCTTCAGGAAAATGAGTGTGATTGTGACACAATCAATAACGTCAATAATTAGTTGTGTGAGGTCCGTACTTTGTGTTGACTGATGAAATGATGGGTTTTAATATTTAAAAAGTTAAGTGGCTTATGCAAGATTTGACAGACCTGCTGAACATTCCCATAGAGAGCAGCTTCTTCAGGAACACTTATGATGGTGTAGGGTGAAGGCATGTGATTGCCTATCAGACTCTCTAGGTGACTGGTCCATCTTCTCGCCACAACAACAAGCTGCTTAGGACAGAATACATTTTCATCGCTGCAAGTCACCTTCTGGAAATGCTTCAAGACGGTTTCCATCTGAAAGACCAGCAGAGCTGATTACAACAGGTAACTCCACATAAAATGTAATAGTACATTACTTTAGTAATGTAACCAACATTTCCCCAGTGTTATTATAGACCTGGCAGATTATGAAACAAATGTTGGATTTTAATGTTTGATTGTTTTGTGATTTTAAAGGTTCTTTAATTGTTTTTTTTTGTTTTTAGCTTTGTTTTTGTGATTATTTTTAATCGTTGTTGCTTTTTAAAGTTCTTTATAAAAGAAGTTGTGTTTTGTAAAAATAAGAGCGTAAGCAGAGTGTAATCTCAACTTGCTTAAGCCTGTAACGCTGTTTATTAATTTTTTAAGGACAAGAGGACACTTTTCAGAATCTTAAATAAATCAGTATTAATCTCATCTCTTTTCTGCTGACATCACACTCAGAATTCACTTGATCACACCAATTTTTGAATATTTCCTGAGGGCCAGAAGAGAAAATACTTTTAGAGTTTTAGTCATCAGGAGAATCAATACATTTCTCAATTCACTTTATTTATATGCCATCAAGTCACAATGAGCGTACCTCATAAATGCCAATTAGTAAAAGTTATCAATCTAAGGAAGCCAGGAAATTGCACAAATTGCATATGAATACTACCACTTGGATGACTCTAAACATCCATCAACAGAGGATATGTTAGGTTTGTTAAATGAGGTTGTGAAGATGTTTTTAGTTTGAATTGATGAACTGGTACCTGATCAGAACCAAGAGCAAAAATCTCCTCAGCCTCATCTAGAATCAGGTGGCACATTCGTAAGAACAGGAAGCAGTGACAAGACAGCAGACGGACAAGAGTGAAGGGAGTGGTCACTAAAAGGAGGCCTGTTGAAAAGATAATGAAAATACTCCTGAATGTTAAATTACTACAGGTTATTATTAACTGCAAATAAACTGTTAATTTCTTTTCATTAAATGACAAGCTGGCCTTAACATCCATGCTGCCTTTGTTCATTCATAAATGACACTGAGACAGTCAGAAGGCTTTAGAGTCCCAGCTTCAAGGGTTTTGTCAAAGCGCTTAATAATTACCACCAGAATGGGTTTACAATGTGCTTACAGTTTTTGGGAATTTTCACAGCTTTTGCTTCATTCTTGCCAGTGCCCAGCACACTGATGACTGGGCGGAGAGTTTTTGAGACCTTGCTTTCTTCCAGCAGGTCGTAGACCACCTGAGCCCTCTCCCATCCTGGACATAGCAGTACAGCTATGGGCTGCATGTAGACACATTATTAGGAATGGTTCGGATTCACAAAACAGTTTGAAGTGGTACCTACAGCGTCTGTACTCACCCCTAAACTGTAGGTGAGGGAAGTGAAGATAGAGTTGAGCTGGATGTGGGAGAGGAGGGGGGCGAGGTAGCTAAGTGGCTGCTCAGCATTGTGGGAGATAATGACAGTGTTGTGTCCACGAGCCACAGCTGGCCAGCTGTAGCGATCGGAGGGAGACAGAGTGCAGTAATTTTTTGTCTTTAACACCTGGAGACAAACCAGAAGTCAAGTCAGATTCAGCTTAAAGTACAGCTGTTTTACAAATCTATAAAACAGAACAAAAATTTTATTAACAACTCTGACTTTTTGGTTAGCATTTTAAAATGTTATTGTGTTTGAGGTTGTATTCACACCCAATAGGTGTGTGGTTCACTTTCACACTGCACTGTCAAACAAACTAAACCCTGTGAACAACAATAGTGTTGTAGATTATTAATGTTTAAAACTTATTTTTGAGAAAAAAAAGGCACAGATACTATAAGACTTTTTTATCTTCTTTCTGCCGCCTTTCATTGTATTTGTGATTTGTTTTTTTATTGTACATAAATTCTGTTATTTTTAAATGAATAAATGAACAACATGCTCACCCCCTCTGCACCAAGAATCAGGGAAGGAAATAACACAAAAATCTCTGAAGATGACACTGAATGCATCTTCCTTTTCATGAAATGTAAAAACATGGAGTGGCGTCAGATTTTAGCAGTTCTAACATTTCACTTTTATATTTGGCAAATGTGCCAAACACACACTCTTCAACAGCAGGCTCAGCATGAGTAGAAGATGAGACAGAAGACCAAGGAGAAAAGGTCTGCAGAATATATCGCAACTTTAATGTTATTACGATAACAGCCTTTGCAATAGGCTCTGGATTTTGTGGGGTTGTGTTGGTTGACGCGACTCTACAATATTGTGTAGACATCAGGGGCAGTTCCTCTGGATTGGCAGACCAAGGTGGTGGTCCACAGAACATGTTCCAACTATAGGGGGATCACATTTCTGAGCTTCCTGGTAGGGGCTGTTAAGCGGTCCTGGAGATGAGGGTTCATCAGATAGTTGAATCTTGGATTCAGGAAGAGCAGTGTGGTTTTGGTTCTGGTCGTGGAACACTGGACCAGCTCTACACCCTCAGCAGGGTCCTGGAGGGTGCATGGGAGCTCGCACAACCAGTCTACATGTGTTTTGTGGACTTTAAGGTGTTGGACTGTATCCCTTGTAGAGTTCTGTGGGGGGTACTCCGGGAGTATGGGGAACCAGGCCCATTGATACGGGTTGTTAGGTCCCTGTACGACAGGTGCCAGAGCTTGGTTCACATTGTAAGTCTGACACGTTTCTGGTGAGAGTTGGACTCAAGGTTGCCCTTTGTCACTGATTCTGTTCATAACTTTTATGGACAGAATTTCTAGGAGCAGCCAAGGTGTTGAGGGGATCCTTTTTTGGTGACCTTAGGATCACATCTTTTTGTGGATGATGTGGATGATGTGATCTACAGTTCTCACTGGATTGGTTCACAGCTGAGTGTGAAGCAGCCGGGATGAGGATCAGTGCCTCCAAATCCAATTTATTTTCTTAGCTGTATTAAAATACTGACTGAATAAACAAAAAAGTGTGGATTTCTCACATATTATTAAACACAAATAAACAGAAATCCATTAAGCTGCTGAATGGGGGGAAAGCAGATGAAAATAACAAAATATGATTTTTAGATGTAAAACTATTATTAATTTAATATTATAATTAAATGTTTTTTTTACATTTATAATCTAAGAATTTTCTCTGATTCTTTACTTTTTGCTGCCTTCTTGTTGGTTCTCTCTGTGGCTGAGAAGACAGATTATTTTTTAACTCAGAGAGGAAAGTGGATCTACCTGATGATGTGGCAGGAACATGAACACCCTATTTTATTCTCCAGAGCTCAGAACCAATAAGTCCAGTAACTGTGATTCTGAAGCAGGCACCCTCTTCCTTCCGTCTTCCCTCCCTCCCTCCCCTACTGAGTCAGACATATGAGCGCTGCTCACTCTTTTTTTTTTCTTTGTCATGTAGATTTTTTGCTTCTTGCCAAATAACTTTAGGACTCAGTCTGGAAAAAGATTGAAGGGTTTTTTACATTTTTGACTCGAGAGAAGGAGGAAAATGATAATTGATTGAGGTGTTTTTCCCCCCACAGGAACGTGTTTCCTGCTCGCAGCGCAACCTGCATCCAATCAGACCATCATTTTAAGAACATAAAATGTGGCGTATATTATTTATCATAACTCCGGTTCTCCTTTGCTTAAAAACACAATTTAAAAACTGGTTTAAAATTTTGACTTGAATTGAAACGGAGTCAAAAGTAGAGTAGGACAATTTGTAAGAATGTCCTATTTTATTCTAGCCTGGTTAAAACCAGACCCTGTCCTTCACTTTGCTTCGTACAAGGGTCTGGACTTGATGTATAGAGAATCATTTCTTGCAGAAGGCGTGGACTCTGCTGAAGCATGTGTGTGTTGTCGCTGTGACGGAGGCTAAGTTAAGAAACTAACCGGAAAACGCGTGCGCTTTAAACAACCCTACTGAGAGAAGAAATATACCGAGCCGAATGAGACGTCTTTAAATGAGAGCTGCTGGTTTGTCAGACAAATTTATTTTAATTTGGAAGCCTTATCAACACAGACTGGCTTCATTCACTTCCTCCACTGCCGTATGCTAAAATAACTAGCAGACACTGCGCAGAACATCGACGTCGTTCAAAACTCCTCCTTCTGTTTGCTGATTGGCCCAGGTAAAATAAACTACAAGCAGACACTGTGCAGAAAATTGACGTTCTGTTCTSTGATTGGCCCGGCTAAAAATCTGCCAGCGAAATCCATCTCAATGGGATAAGTCCCAGACGGAGCAGAGAAGGGAAACTAGAACTGAGCGGAGCTGCGTAGGAAGGCAAGGGCCAGGCTAATTTTATTCCTCACCAGACATTTCATTATTTTTAAATTACATTTAACAGAAAGCTGAAAGCCTTTCTTAATTTAATTGTTTAGTTATATCACTTGGATCCCTCAGTACAGTTAAAATTGTGTAGTGGTCACCTAGGTGTGGAATAAACAGTTCCACCTGTCTTTGACCTTGCTCTCAGAAGGCCTCCTTTAAAGAGACAGAACTCTGTTCGAGTTAAAGTCATAACATGTTTTCTTAAACAATAAAGAGACATTTTCTTCTTATTGATCAGATAATAAACAGAATAACCTTCATTTATTCATAATTTTATCAATGTATAAAAAAGAACACACAAAAAGAATGTTACCATGTTTTATTGTGCTTTGATATAAATCACTGCTTGAACTTTAACTGTGAAACCACAGTAACTGATTATGGATTTTTAAATTTAAATATTTTACTTAACTAAACTTTGCATTATAGTTAAGTTTTATTTTGAAACATTTAATAATCGTTTTATCTGAATCATAATGAATGTTCTGTATGAAATAATTCATTTTTAAGTTTTCAGTAAATCATTCTTTTGTTCTTTAAAGAGCTCTCAGCAGAGAGCAGGTCAGAACAGATTTTACGACGTGCAGACGTCAACAATTTTTGTTTAAGACAACACCTGGCAGTGCTCAAAAACACTTCCTCTCTTTAAAACTAACATCTCTTAACTAACAGTCAGTCAGTCTGTAGAGCTGTTGGAAAGCTAACACTCTCGTGATCCAACAAGAACACAGCTGGCTCCGAGGAGAATCAGCCTGGCTGTGTGAGGATTAACCCATGAGTCAAAGGGAACCTCTCAGCCCAGACCAGACCATTACTCGGTCTAGTCTATTTTGAGCTTATACCCAAGTTACTCACAGAGAAACTTTTGTTTTGAAACTTCCGAGCGGAAGTTTTCTATTTTTGAGACGGATACCGAAAAGCCTCGTCTCTAATCTTCGATTAGCAGCAGCCCTGAAGAAAATGCTGAAGGAGTAACGTAAACAAGCCTCAAAAGTGTCCGAGTAGATGAGGTTCCAAGAAGTTCTTCATCAGTTGGATGATCTTCTTCGACTTGAGTCGAATGGTGGTGAAACTATCCATGTAGCTTTGGACAAGACCAGAATGTGTGTAAAAGTGTGGCAGGAGATTGTTTACAACGATTACATGTCGGGTCCAAGTCATTTTTGAATTTGCACAATCTGTCCTTAGACCAGTGTAGACGATGTACTACGTTGAACTGAACTATAACATGTTTCACACATATTGAGGACGAATATATATTTTGAATAATTTTTTGCCAAACTGTGTCTGATATGGATTCCTCCAAGTCCATCTCCCACTTGCCCTTCAAAGAATCTAAATTGGAGTCAGAAAATGAGCTGAGCAGAGAATAAACTCTACTCATAGAGCGTTTTGTTACAGACTTACACATCAAAATCTCATCTATAAGAGAAGTTGGGGGGCGCAGAGGAAAACATCCAGAGTTTGACATTRCAAAATGTCTCAGTTGTAAATACCTGAAGAACTATGACTTATGGATGTCAAATGTCTGTGCTAACTGTTCAAATGAGGCGAACTTATTGTCTATATAAAGATCATTTAGAGAAGCTATTCCCTTTAAACTCCAAGTATTGAAAACAGAGTCCATTAGTGAAGGAGCAAACATATGGTTATTTGATACTGGAGCAGACAATAATAATTCTATACTTTTAAACAACCTCCTGCACTGATTCCAGATTTTTATTGTGTGAGTTACAACCGGATTAGAAGTATAAGTTGAGATTGGTTGATTTAAACGGTAACCGGGAGCAAAGTAAAGCAGAGAGAGAGCTCGCCGTAACTGATTTCCTCTCTAGAATTACCCAAGTAGGAACAGGATTGTCCTCTCTCATACAGTACAGTAAGGTTCTAATGTTGGCCGCCCAGTAGTAATATAAAAAGTTGGGGAGTCACAAGCCACCAAGATCACAGGGTAACTGTAACATCTTACTGCCTATCCGTGGATACTTTTTATTCCAAATAAAGGACGACAATTCATTATTTAAATTTGTAAAGAAAGTCCTGGTGAGGAACACTGGCACGCTCTGAAATAGATAAAGTAATATGGGCAATATTGTCATTTTGATCACGTTGATTCTACCCCCCAGGGATAGAGGCAGGGATGCCCATGTAGCGATGTCCTTCTTAAGGTTCACCAGGAGAGGCAGAAAGTTTGCTATATAAGGATCTTTGTGCCTGTGAGTAATCCAAATACCAAGGTATTT